CCCCCCCCCCCCCCCCCAGGTAATGTGGAAGGAACTATAATTTCTTATATTCATAAATTTTTTCAACAGTCACCCAAACTATTTTTGTTGGACCAGTGACTACCTCACTTTTGACAACTTTTGGTCGTCCGAGCAAGACTTTAATCGTCCTTTATAGGCACTGCTGCACAACAAGGGAACAAGGGGAACCTACATATAAAATTGGAGAAAGATCCCTCCCGTTCTTTATGAGAAATAGTGATAACAAATTTTCACTATCAAAATCCAAGATGGCTGCCTATCGGCCATGTTGTTCATCCGATCAGTCTCAAAAGTTGCCTTGCACAGCTAAGGACCAAGGGAAACCTACATATAAAATTTAAGAAAGATCCCTGTGATGCTTCCAAGAAAATAGTGATAACAAATTTTCACTATCAAAATCCAAGATGGCTGCCTATCGGCCATGTTGTTCATCCGATCAGTCTCAAAAGTTGCCTTGCACAGCTAAGGACCAAGGGAAACCTACATATAAAATTTAAGAAAGATCCCTGTGATGCTTCCAAGAAAATAGCGATAACAAACTTTCACTATCAAAATCCAAGATGGCTGCCTATCGGCCATGTTGTTCATCCGATCAGTCTCAAAAGTTTCCCTGCACAGCCAAGGACCAAGGGGAACCTACATATACAATTTGAAAACATCCCTCTGGTACTTCTTGAGAAATACCGATTACAAGAATTGTTTAAGGACGGACAACGGACGGACCACGGACGCAGGGCGATTTGAATAGCCCACCATCATGGGCTTAAAATCTCAAGTGAATGATAAACATAAAAACAAAAACCATTTACATTATGTGGATTGTAGCTCTCCTGGTATAAAGTACTAAAACAAAGAACAAACAAGAAGAATAAGCCTAGTGTATATTATCAGTAGCGACCCAAAGCTCATGAGAAAAATGTAGATTAAAGTTTATCTATGAAAATTAAATTATCCTCACCTACTTTCAAGGTCACAGGGGTCAAATATGTTCATGTATCTAATCAATCCCAGAGCCATATTATATGGAAGATCAGCCATGTAATATTCACCTATTTCTAATGTGATGTGTTGAAGTCAAAGGTAAATTTCAATAGTTGACTGGGGTCAAATATCAACGTTGCCTATGTTGTTAAACTATTTCTTAATCTTCTTGTCTTGTCCAGAAAGTCTGGGGTCAAGGTATTTGGCCGGGGGTTAACCACTATTTTTTCCTTCAAGGTAACCCCCTTTACCTTATAAGTTCAAATATCTGAAATGAAGAGGTTAAACTATATATTTGACATTTTGGTTCGGAGAATATAAAAGCTGTTATGTTGGCACAAAGAACAAACAAGAAGGATGAACATGTAATTTCAGGTCACAGAAATTGTGTAGTGGTTATAAACTCATCTAGTATTCAGACTTTAATTAAAGCTTACAGGTAACGACAGCGTATGTGAGCCTGCACCTCCTCTCGGCCTCTTGTTTTTCTGTCTGAACAAGCTGACAATTTATCAGTGAATGTTATCTGACTCCATGCCTTCTGTAATATGTTGAGAGTCAAGGCAGTTTTAACGTATTATGCAAACTCACAAGCCAAGTGTCCTAGAGCAGAAAACATCCTCATTTGTAGTCATTGCTTTCTGGCTTGCTGTGTCACATAATCCCTGTTTAAGGCTCTGTTCGGTCCTGGTCATATATGGTATTTTAGATACCCTATTTGACCTTTATGTGCTTACACGAAACATATTTTATTAATTATGCATTAGACCGATTAGACTGAACGTTTACGACTCTAAAAACGTTCGTCCAATACATAGTAGGAAGGAAGTATTAAATTGCGAAAAATGACATCCTTTTCTATCCCCCCCCCCCCTCCCATTTTAGACAATATATGGTTTAACGTTCTTGCAACACGAGAGAATAGGGAAGGGAGGAAATAGACACAGATCCCAAGAATTGCAATGGTCACGGTGACGGATGGCGTACCGCAGATTATATTTGGTTTCTGTAGTGTCTTCTAAACAGAAGGAAATCTCCGATTCTGCAATGGACCCCTCATTAGTCGCCTCTTACAACATGTAGTGGTTTAAAGCAGGTCAATTCTTTCTCCGGACCAACTATGAGCAGTTGTTGTGGCTCCGATGTACGGACAATGTGAGCGAAAGAGACGATGTTTATTTTTCCAACTTTACCCAAGATTTAATCATCTAAGTCGTGATATAATATATGTTATTGTGAGGAAAAAGAACTTGTCAAACCATAAAATAAAAGTTCTGTGAAATCATTTTAAATGATTTACAAACTATATTAATACATGTATCTTTTTGCGTTGCTTGATTTTTGCGAGGAAATTGGAGCATGCGCATTATTGATTTTTTGTATCATGCATATAATATGAACATTTTTCAAGACCTGTTTAACATTGTAAATTACATATCTTAAATAAGATGGATCAGTTTGGAAATATGTAATATCAAAGTTTTACTCTATAGTTTATATACACAAACAATGTACGTCTTAAAATACTTATCACGTACGTTGTTTGTGTATATCGTGTAACTTTGATATTATATTTTATATTACATATTAACAAATTGTATTTGTATGTTTATTATAAACTGAGAGACACCATCTATGTGTATTGACTATGCATACATATTTGGTTGATTAATCAATGCGATAACGGAGGCCTCTGAGCCGTACCAGATATCATTTGCATCGTGTCTGACTGGCTGTAACTCTCCAGTGCGCGCGCCAGTCCTACGAAAGCAGACCGTACCAGCTGAACAAACTCATTGCAGCCAGCAATTCACACAGCAAACGGTCACTCCTGTCTATCTTATTATACCAACATGGCCGAATCGGACACCGGTAGAGTGGTAGCAATCGGTATCGATGGAAGTGCATACGCCGAACAGGCATTTGACTGTGAGTATATGTATCTGTAGCATTGATGTGAACTACGTGCAGATATGGTATTTGTTAATAATATGATTCAACGCAGACCTTTTTGTTTACATTTGTTTCCCCTTAGAGCAGACGAGAGGAGGTGTCTAGGGCTGTACTGCTATTAAGGTCAATAATCAATCTACTTAGATAAAGCGTACGTGACCATATATATAGTTGATACTATGACCTGCAATGACCTTGTCGGGTAAAACTCCAAACCGCTGACACTGTAGCATGGGTATTAGGGTAAGGGAGGCGAGGAGTACGCCTCTGGCCAGTCTCTGATGCTAATAGCATCAACTTGTAGGACGGAGTCTGCATTTTCTTTCTGGCATTCTATTTCCGGATGCTCAACGCCTTATCAACTTTTAATGGGTTAACACAGGCCTTCGATTTTGTCTATTTTAAAAAGCTTTCCGATGAAATAATTGTATAATATTGGTAATATTTTAAATGACTATATGACTACAAGAAACACGAAACGAGAAGAAATAAGAAAATAAGTATTTTCATGGTAAATAACAATTACGTCAAGTTAACCAATCTTCGAAAATGCGAATCAAAATTTTATGGAAACCTGTTACGTATATACGTAACAGTGCATCAGAAATCGACATGTAATGACGTAATAGACATGGAATCAGCGAAATGCACTCAAGATGTCACCTTGTGCTCTTTATTATTTCAGCTGTACGACTTGCAGTTCGAAAACGTGTTCTAGTATTATGTTTAGCCGTTCGGTAGTTCCGTGAGATTTACTAAAATGCTGGAAACCTCCAGGATTTTCCATACCTCACAAACATGCTGAACAATGGAGTGTGGCAGTGCTGTGGTAGCATGGTAAAAATATTGATCATTGCATGTCTGTGTTCTCGACATCCTAGGTCGACACGAAACACGCGCCCGAAACGATAGGTGGACTATTGACCTGTTTACAAGCACAAATGATACAGTACCTTGTAACGACAAAAGTATTTCGGTGTAATGTTCGAAGAATGTTGCGAAAATTATCCAAACACGTCTCGAGGCTGCTCTCATACTTTATTTCCACTCTCTTGACGGAGAGAAGGGACGTTGTGTAAATTCTAAACCGCATTGGTGGCAATAGTAATTGATGTGCTCTTGTACAAGACACTTTCCTGAACGGTTCCGTCACCTGGGACATGTAACACGCGTGGAGACAATCTTGCGAAATTCTGACATCCTGCTGGTACACTGAGAGTTCTAGATAATATGTACTTGGGTCGCTGGCTGTATCGGAGTTTATGAACAATCTGCTTACGTTTGAACAACAAAGCCTTCAAGTTAAATGTGATCTCCCTCCATCTCTTACATCCTTTGAAACGAGGATATTCTCATCCTTTCACACTAGAAATACTCAGTTCCGTTTGAACAGGTCTGTCTATGTTACGTTTTTTTACAGCAACAACTTTTGGCAATTATTTGACATTGAACTTGTCCCGCGGAAGATGACGTGGAATCTGAACATATGCTCAAGTTCCAATGGCTAAGCTGGTCAGTACGACCCATACCTCATTACGGATAGACAAACGAACCAATCAAAGGTAACAGACAATGACATATGGTTATGTTAACCGACACCGGATATTGCTATTGATATACGTCTTCCTTCCCAAACGCTTGCCGTGCAATTCGTCAGCGACAAGTACATCTTTTAACCTCTGACCTCAATTAGTGATTGAAAAAAAACTCTGTCCGGGACATATCTCCTAGTATAATACACGCCATCTCTATAACAGAATGTTTTTCTATCGCGCTCGAGTTTCTGCGATCATATTTTCCTTATTCGAAGTCTCTCTAGTAAAATGTGCATTGGGGTACCCCTTTTGAGTTCCTAGCTGACGACAACAATTTCATGTTAGCCTCATTACCTTTATTGTTGTGTTGTTGTTTTATTACGGCAAAATAAAATATGTTTTCCCCTTGTGATCGAGAAACACGATTCTTTGTTTCCCCGAAATGAATTATGTTCATTCGCCTTTATGAAACATGATCCATATCGGGGAAACAAATAATCGTGTTTCCCAAAAGCAAAGGCAATAACATTGTTTTCTCATTTCAATGTTGTCCATTAACCACGAAGCGTCATTTTTGTGACCCCTCATTTCAATGTTGTCCATTAACCACGAAGCGTCATTTTTGTGACCCCTGATTTCAATGCTGTTCATTAACAAGTTATCGTCAATAATGTGACCCCTCATTTCAATGTTGTCTATTGATTTAGCGTCAATTTTGGCCTTGTTTAGAATAGTATAATGATAACATTTGAACCATCCGTTCTGTGCGTAAACAAGGTGCGATATTTAAGGTAGCGTTTATTACGTACACTTTTCAGCAATAAAAGTAACTACTTCGACTTGGTTAGGTGGTCGGAAACTAGACCCATTAACGTGACGATTAACAATTCCCACCACAAATGATTTCCCCGAGCGACGGACCTGTTGGTATCTCTCACGCGATCACTTAACTCTTCTCAGAAAATAGCGAGGTGTTTGGTTCCTTGTGGTATAGAGATGGACGGAGATGTTTGCAGACATAATCACTACTGGCCTTCTACTTGTTGATGACATTGGAGAGGCTGAGGTTGATCTGTTGTCCCTATTACAACACTTACGATCTCCATCTCTTTTTGACGAGTGTCCCTATAAGCTCCCGTCTTCATATTCATACTGTTGCCAGCACATTACACCCGGATGTAAGCTGTAATCCCAACGAAATGCTTTTATTAAATCGTGACCTTATTTATATCTCACAAACTTGATAATTTCGTTCCCGTTTAAGGTACATAATCGAATCAAAAGTATTCACAATTTATTCAGATTTACTCTATATTTCATGACTGTCTATCCTTTTTCACTAAATTGTTTCCGTGAGCCAATTATTGCGCCACAGAAATGAAATTGAACACCTTGAAAGAGGTTTAACTGATTTCATTATTATTTCACAATATTTTCATATTTTCCTGATTTCGCAAGATATGTCGAGTTATTCTCGGAAATGATACTTCAATACTTTTATTTTGTAATGGAGCAGCCAAATAGATTTGATCTGAAAAGCTTGTCATATGTCGGAAGCTATTGTATAAAAGTACTTAAAATCGTATATTTCAATATGTACAATTTCATTCAATGGCGCCCCAGAAAATTCCAACGAAAAGAGGTAAAAAAATGCATGAAATATGGAATAAACCAGGACAACTCTCGAATACTTCTGGCACGCTGCTGTAAGAAGTTTTACTTTTTATTTACGTTTAATTTTATTAATTAAGAATATAGTTTTGTTTTTGGTAAATGTTACAGTTCTTATTTCTAGCAGTGTTAGCGTTTATGGGAGAGAGAAAAGTCGTTGTTTACAAAGTGTTGAAGTTCGCGGTTCTGCAATTGAACCTTAGTACGGAATTCATGGTGCCGTGAGAATAGCAATATCCAAAATAATTAGTCATGATGTTACGAAAATGTACACCCTTAACTCGGGTCAAGATTGGTGATATGATCAACGATTTTGCGAAAAGAGCGACAGTTTCACATGATTCATTAAAGATCGTGTGTCGAAAAGAAGAAGGATTGTTTGTTGGTTTCCGTGCGGTTTGATATTAACCTTCTCTCAACAACCAAGTTCATTTTGGGTGTTCGGGCGCCTGTCGCTTGGCGCTGTGGTTAGCGCACTAGCCTTTCACAAAGACAGCCGCGGTTCGATTCCACGATCAGACATGAACAACTATAGGTCACCCGCCCGATACCGCGGGGTTTATCTGCGCACTTCCATCCTGGCCAACAACAGTGATTTATATGAATTGATAAACTTGAAAATAATTGTTGTAAAATATATAAAGTTCGTATTACATTCATTTTTAATACAAGTAGCTTCTGGCACTTCTGAAAATATTTTGAAATACATCGTGTAAGTCTCAGGTCCCTGTGATCATTACCATCAGCGACATATGATGTTATATATTGTTTTTAGTTCTCAAAGGTGTCTTTTTTATCCAACGTCCAGATGAAACTGACATCCTGTCAGGGATGCCAAAGATAATTAGTCCTAACCTAATGACTAAATAGTAGTGTGCTGGATAACCGAACTACTCGGTAGTGAAGCGGACGTAAAACCTATCAATCAATCGACTATATAGTGGACGGGTCAAGGTCACTCACGACCCACTGACCCCTCCCTTTGACTCACGGCCATGTCTCGCGACAGACTAAGAGCGTTATCATGCTCAAAGTTTATTATTGTTATCCCCATCTTTGATCCCATGTATTCAACTAGATTGCTCACTAATTCGATCTTTTAGCTTGGATGAAGAACGCTAAACGCGTCCATCCTTCGATGTTAATTTCACACCCCATTTACCTGATTAAGAGGTTAGTGTTAATAAGGGAGACAACTCGAAAAAATAAATCACAGGTTTAATTTGCAAGATAACACTCACAACTGGTTTTTATTTTTTGGTAGCGTACATCCTTAATTAAGACGAAATGAGAAAATGTTTGGTATCGATCGAACTGTAGTTATTTCGTTTATAACACCGATGTTTTTAAATCAATTGCCCGTCCCATCCTAATATACTCACGTACCTCACCAAGATGACTACATGCACTCAGATACACTGCAAGCTGAAATGCAAAATGCAAATTTCAGCTTCTTATACAAAACGTCAATTTCATTTCAAAGTTTTACGTTTAATAGGCTTTGACATCGATAAAATGCCATTCTATAAATGTGCACTTCATCGAAATATTTAATATGAAATTGTCGTTTCTGGGGGTAATACGCCTAGAGCCTATAGCTGTTTAACGGTTTACCGACTTCAGACGCTATTTCCAAACAATGCCTCCACAGCAGTGCATTACAGCAGAGCTGGTTTTGTATTATTAGGAGACGGGCGGTATAGTCGCTAAGTGTGGCTATCAATTATAATTATGTTTTATTACACATCCTGCTCGTCAAATGTCCCCCAA